TAAACATTGTATTGGTTGGTTGGTGGGTTTGATGGCTTTTTTAAAATTATTTTTTCTAGTTTGAGGGTTCTTGAAAGTTAAAGGGTTGAGTTTTTCATTTTGTTTTTCTTTTTTTTTATTGGGGGTTTTTTGTTTTGTTTTGGGTTTTTTTTGTTTCTTTGTTTTGTTTTTTACATTAAATTAGAGCTGTGATTAGTCACTCATTTGCAGTGGAGGATCAAGCAGAGCTGGTTAAATTTATTCTCTCTCCTAGTTTTCCACTCATCTCTTTCCTCATTTTCCCTCAACAGGAAGAGCTTTCTTAGACTAACAGCGACTCCTGATAGTTAGCAGTTTACAGTCAAGTATAAAAAAGAAAGCTGGAAATTGATCCTGGTCAGTGCTAGTACAGGTTTTGCTGTCATCTGCAGAGGTTCAAGAATACATCTCAGTAATAACTTCTGCACAAAAAGTACCAGCAGGAGCACAGAAAAAAACTTTGATCAATAATTGCTTAAACCACCTCAGTTTAGGTGACTGCAAAAGTCTGCATGTCTCAAGCAATCACCTAACTGTAGAAATATCTCTGTCAAATTATCAACAATTATAAGGAAAATTATAAACCAATTGTTTAAAATGGTAATAGTGCATCTCCTCTGTGAGACTGTTCAATCTCATATACAGCAATGAGAACAACTATGAAAGGAGAAGCACTGATATCACCTTCAATGAGCTTGAAACTTTCTCACATGTAGATGAAACACTCTATCTTTCAAATACATAATGCAATAGACGATCCAGTATGGATTGGTAAAATTACCGACTGTCTGAAGAAAGAACTGGAGCTTCTTTGTGAGCTTATAATATAGCCCTTCAGAGAGTTGATGTTATGTATTAATCAAGTATTAGATGTTCTTAGTAAGTCAAGTGTGCAGTTACTGGTGGTTAGTGTCATAAATGTCAGACTTCTGGGGACACCCATAGGCCCTGATTGGGTCCATCCTCCCATGGGAGCTCCCCCCACACCTTCTACGCTGGTGCAGGGGCTCCATGTCAGTTTGGGGTTGACACCTAGACCTAATCTGGTCACTGCTGGAGGTGTGCAGGTCTCGAGTCCTGTCTTCTGGATGGACCTTGGACACACATAATAGCCTTCATTCCAGTTCCGTCTCCAGTCCTGAATGACATCTGAGCCTGCCTTTCCACCGTGATGTGTCTGAGACTGTTAATGGACCCTGTCTCAAGCACCTTTCTCTACCCACCCTATCTCACTTCTGCAGGACTGGCTGTGAGGACTGCCTCTTTCTGGGGTCACCCTTGACTTACAGCTCATCCTCCCTTGTTCTTGCTGTTCCCCACATTAAGTCTAGCAATAAGCTGAAAATTAGGAGAATTCTAAGACTGGCCATAACAGTGTTCAATAGCTAACAATGAGCCAGAGACCAGAGAAATGCAAAAACAATGACAATAGAAGTATATAATTATCCTATTTTGTTCAATATTGGTTGAGACAAATTGTGTTCAGCAAATGCACAGAACTCCAAAGATGTACCTATAGTGAAAATCCAGCTTCTCTGAGCCTGCATAAATCCCTATGATGAACAAACAGTGAAAAACATACCTATGCTTCAAAATTAAAAATGAATGAGTCAAATCCTGAAAACTCTCCTCTCCTTAACTCACTGTGTTTGAATATACTAAAATTCACCAATAAACTATTACACAGTCAAGCTGTTTCATTCTCTTCAAGGAGGATTTCACTGTCTTCTCTAACCCTACCAAAAAGAATAGCTTAACTTCTTAGCATTCTTTTTGCCTGAGGTACAGAAAAGAAGGTCATTTTATGATGCAAGTAAAAGGTTCAGTTTATCCTGGAGGTACATTCTTCACTCTTCTTCATAAGTACTCCACCTAGGACATTTTAAGTATGGTATGTTTAACTAAATAATCGCACAGTTGATTGCAAGTGAAATTTGTCACCACCAAGTAAGGAGAATTAACTGAATCGAAAACTCATCAAGAATTGAGGAAGGGTGTGTTTGAGTGGAAAGCAAAGAGGAAGAAGACCACAGTTACTTATCTATTAATTCTGTAAGACAATTAAATATATAAATATGATCCAAAATAAGAACTTCCCATGTGCTGCTATCTTTGCATATACCTGGGGGTATACCTGCAAAATATTCAATATTCTTTCAGAGGCTGAACAAATATGGTCATACCTCAGGGACTGTTCAAGCCCTTGAGAATAGCAAAGACTACAAAATGGAAAACACAAGAATACCTCTAGAGGAGTGGAATTTCCTAGCAATGGCTCCGACCTCAATCAAATTCACTCTAAATTTGTAATCCTGGTGCAATTCTGCAGGTGGGTTTTCTCACCAGAAGGTTCCCTCAGCATCCCATAAGGGAAAAAAATTTAGAATCTTTCCCAGTTCTGCTATAGATAGTATGAATGAAATTAAGAAAAAAAATCTGCTAGCACCAACCAATAAATACTCTTCATGGCATCTGTTAGTAAGCAGCCTTACACCTTTCAGCAATGTATTTCTATTATCCCATAGCACACAGCCCTTATCGTTCTCTGTCAGCAGGCCATGGTTACCTGGATGGGTGCTGAATCTTTCACTGGTTCAGCAGATCTAGTGAGATCCTTGTTCCTTCTGACAACATTTCCCTTAAACGTAGAAGGCAATGCCTTCTTGTTCATAAAGAGATTATTGAAATGACATAAGCTCTCTTTTACTAGATCGTAAGAAAGAGCTTGAGGTCTGAACAAAATTAATCTGGTGCCCTACGTTTTGAAACAGTTGAAGAGTTGTTGACTGCTGTGACAACCTTCCTGTCCCCTTCAGTCCATCAATCTCTGACGTCCAGTGCTTTGCACTGCTGAAGAACAAGAGAAATGGTTTCACAAGATATTTTCACTGCCTCAAAATCCTCTCAAAGACCTGAACACTTACTAACAATTTATTAGGATTCAAAACAGATACCATCTGTCTAGTCATTCGGCCTGTTCTGTTTTTTTTCTTTGCTTTCAGGTAACTAGTCTGTACCACAGTGACATGTTTTTCTGCCCTCTAGTAATAGCCTCTGAAAATGGGACCTCTTTGTGCAGCAGCATGCAAAGATTTGCTCATATATATATGAGTATATATGGATGTGTAATCATGTAGCCTCTGCTTCTTAACCCTGATGGTCAGGGTAATGGCTTTATACCTTCTTCTTTAGGTAATTGAAACCAATTTTCCTTTTCACCTACCTTTGACTTTTACAACAATATGTTCTAAAAGAAATAAACAGAAAAATTTAGAAAGGGCTTTACAAAATGGTGTTACCAATTTATCAGAATATAGGGATTAATCCAGAAAATTCAAAAATCAATAAATTTCAATCAAAAATTTACATTCTATTTTGTATCTTATTACATATAATTAGCTGATACTGAAATTGGAAGAGAGTTAACAACAGGCATCAGATAGAGCTCAAAGTATTTTTAAAAACTGTAGAACAGAGTTTGCTAGTCTTGTGTAAAGTGTTGCATGGAAATTAAGCAAATATAAATCTATAAAAGCTATGCCATGAGCCTGGGGTCTATATTATAAATTGTAGCATTTTTTTATGTTATCTCTTTAAATAATATTGAGAGACTTTGACCAGGCTAACTGTTTAAAAATAATTTTCTCCTGTCCAAATTTTAAGTATTCTCATAATTCTAATGTTCATTCATGTTTATTGAGCTGAAAAAAACTGGCTCCTCTTAGATCATTTAGAGACACTCTCTCAAAATTGTAATCATCCCCTTGCAAATACAAAAAGTTACAGAAATGGACTCAATAGAGACAAAAGTGAAAGAATTATTGGAGATTGCCGAACATGTGGATAGGAAAGTACAAATGAATCTCATTTTTTAATCAGTAGAAAATTAGAATGAGTGAGCTTTTGAGGTCCCTTGGGAGACAGGTTAGATGGCCTTGTGATCAGAAAGTGATGCTTTCTCTAGAGCAGATTGATAGTCTGCCTTCTAGCTTTCTCCACTTAGAATAGAAGAAGTACGATCAATGCATAAGGGGCAACTTATTGAATGTTGTGTGACTTTCGCTGAGGTGTTTCAGCCCTACATAGTGCAGCAATAGTATGTCTGATAGTAGTGTGTGTATTTTTTTCCAGAAGCATAACAGTTCAGTGATACAACCAGAGATGGAAAATATGGTTTTATTTTCAAAGCTGGCTATGACAATGAAAAGGACCATAACGATTTTACTTAAAAAATGCGAAAGAAAAAACTTATGTCAGCTCTTTGTATGCTATTCAGAAGATTTTACTTATGCCTTCCACATTCACCATGGTAAGCAGTTAGGTCAATCATAAATTAACTTTTCTTTTCATACTTGTGTTGATTTCAGCTTTTCTCATTATTCTATTTTCCCCTTACGTTTTGCATACCTGAAAAAAAAACCCAAACGAACCAAAAACCAGCCCAAAGAAACAATGTATAAGAATGTTTAATGACTGCTGGACTCTTATATCTGTTATGATTTAGCCACTTCAATTACCTTATCAAGTTCAATTAACTGTTTGTTGGACTAATCTATAGTTGTATAACTGTTGTCAACATGAAAACTAAGTTGAGAAACAGTAATGTAGGTATAGAATTTTATCTTTCCTATAGACTTTTTATTAAAATAAGATGGCATAATATCTGATGTAATTTTTCATAGTTTACTTTGGTCAAAAGACATGGTCAAAAAAGTATAATTTTTATTGTTTAAAATATAATAAAATGTGTCAGTCCAGTCTTCCTGTCTTACCTATTTAACCATTTCTAACATGTCTATTGGCTGTCATCTGGGTAGATCTGTTTTGATTTGAACAAAATGTGACATGAATCTCTTAGGTATTTAGAATGGAAGGGAAAAAAAAAAGATTTTCAACAGATTTTAAGCAGCTTATTTCCTAGTTTTATTGGAAATCAACTTGATAAATAGGGTCCAAACAGAAAACCTTGGAACAGCCTCCTCAGTCTCAACAACAAAAAAAAATAAAATCTATAAGACTCACAGATTTCTGTGTCTCCTGGGACAAAGTAGTGAAGGATGGCCAAAGGCAAGCCACAGAAATAGTTTATCATGACACTGTCAAATGCTAAATGCAAAAATCCCTTGGACTAAGGTAGGGAGAACCTCTACTATGTCAAGGCTACAACATGCAGCAACCTAAACTATTATGCATACTCTCACAAGGTGACACTTAAGAATATACACAACTCATAAAAAGAAGGTAACAAGGGTGGAATGGAAAGGTAGAGGGAGGAAAGAGCTAATGAGAAACATCACAAACATGAATAGATAAGTTTTATAACTAATTTTATTCAGAGATAAAATCCAATTCCTACATTCCAAAATGGTAGAATTTTACTATTTGAGTCAGTCAACAAACTCTATCAAAGTTTGTTTCAGACACAGTATGGCATTTCTATGTTAAACTCACCTTAGAAGTGAGAGCTCAGAGAAAGTACATATTGGGTATGAATGCTTTTCAGTCTAAACTAATTCTAGTCAAGTGCTTAATTTCTTCATTGAAGTGCAGAGGAATACATTCAAACCTTCATCTTGTCTAGAATTCAATACAATATAAAAATATCTTAACAACTCACTTGTCTGCTATTCTAAACATCCTTTCCTTTCCTTCCCTTTCCTTCCCTTTCCTTCCCTTTCCTTCCCTTTCCTTCCCTTTCCTTCCCTTT